CCGGGTACCGGGAGACCGCGGCCTTCCTCGAGGACGTGCAGCGCTGGGAGCTCGCCGAGGCCGGGCCCGCCAAGGACAGCGCGCTGCGGGCGCTGCTGGCCACGTGCGCGCAGGCCCCTGGCCCTGGGGACCCACGCCCCTTCCCCAGCCCGGCTCTGACCGCCCGGTGCCAAGCAGCCACCGCCGAGCACGAGCGAGCGGCCCTGGTGGCGCAGGCCAAGGCCGAGGCCATGGCCTTCTTGCAGGATAAGCCCTTCCAGGGGTTCCTGGCCAGCCCCTTCTACGACAGGTTCCTGCAGTGGAAGGCCTTCGAGAGGCAGCCCGTGTCCGACAAGTACTTCCACGAGTTCCGCGTGCTGGGCAAAGGCGGCTTCGGGGAGGTAAGTGTCCCCGAACAGCCATCCCGCCCGTGTCCGACAAGTACTTCCACGAGTTCCGCGTGCTGGGCAAAGGCGGCTTCGGGGAGGTAAGTGTCCCCGAACAGCCATCCCGGAAGGTGAAAGAGCGTAAAACAGGGTTTTTTTGCCTTTTTTTTTTTTTTTTTTTTTTTCTGTTTTGAATCTCAAGGGAACTTACTTAGAACTCATTTCAGTGCCGTACGTGGAGGATTCCTAGCTCTCCCGCCTTCTTTCTGGTCACCATGTGAAATAAAATGTGAATGGCATAACAGAGGCCAGCAAGATGTGGACGTGGCCAAGAGTCTGTCCATGCGGCCCACAGCAGGGACACGCTGAAACCCTGGCACTCTAGAGAACGACAGCAACACGTGATGGGGGATCTGCTTTCCTCCTCAACTGTGGTGGTGGAGGTGATGCGAGGAAAAGCTGACATCTAAGGGAACACTCACCTCGAAGGAAAGTTGAGAACCTAGTCTGCACTGCTGCTGTGCCCAGCTCTTTCTCTTTTTAAGTAAAAAATTACTTTTTTAGGTAAAATTTACATGAGAGAAAACTAACCACTAATCACTTTAAAATGTGCAGTTGAGTGGCATTTAGCACATTCACAATGTTGTGTGACCGTCACCTCCATCTAGTTCCAAGTCATTTCATCACACCGCCCCGTTAACAGTCACTCCACTCCCTCCTCCTGCCCCTGGCAACCACGGGTCTGCTCTCTGTCTCTATGGATTTGCCTATTCTGGATGTTTCACACAATATGTGACCTTTTCGTGTCTGGCTTCTTTCATTCAGCATGTTTTGGAGTTCATTCACGTTTTAGCATGTATTAGTACTTTATTCCTTTTTATAAAATAGTACCCTATTGTTTGGATATACTATATTTCATTTATCTATCCATCTGTTGATGGACTCGGGTTGTTTCTACCTTTCTGCTGTTGTCACATAGTGCTGCTATGAACATTCGGGTACTATATTTGTTAGAATACCTGTTTTTATTTCTCTTGAGTGTATGTCTGGGAGCAAAATTGCTGCATCATACGGCAGTTCTGTGTTTAACTATTTGAGAAGCCACCAAACTCTGCCACATTTTACAGTCCCACCAGCAGTACGCAAGGGATCCCATTTACCCACGTCTTTACCAACTCTTATTTTCCCTTATGTTTTTTATTATGACCAACCTAGTAGGGGTGAAGGGGTATCTCACTGTAGTCCCCACTTCTCGGTGGCTGACCAGTAAGGGGATCCAAACCGTGACCCTGGTGTTATTGACTCCACTTTCTAATCAATTGGGCTAACTGGCCAGGCCTCCTGCTCCTTCTTGAGATCGCTTCTTCCTTACAGCTGCTCCTTCTCAGAAGCTTGCCATCTTTTCACCTTGGCTGATTTCCACAGACACACACACCCTCTTTTATCATCCTCTCACCCACCTCTCTCCAGTTCCATCTACTTCTACCTCTTTCCCTTTCTTTATCTCTTTTAAGGTATGTGCTGTCCAGGTGAGAAACACTGGTAAGATGTATGCCTGTAAGAAGTTGGACAAGAAGCGGCTGAAGAAGAAAAATGGTGAGAAGATGGCTCTCTTGGAAAAGGAAATCTTGGAGAAGGTGAACAGCCCTTTCATCGTCTCTCTGGCCTATGCCTTTGAGAGCAAGACCCATCTCTGTCTGGTTATGAGCCTGATGAATGGGGGAGACCTCAAGTTCCATATCTACAACACTGGCACACGGGGCCTGGAAATGAGCCGGGTGGTCTTCTACTCGGCCCAGATGGTCTGTGGAGTGCTGCACCTACATGACCTTGGCATTGTCTACCGAGACCTGAAGCCTGAGAACGTGCTTCTGGATGACCTCGGCAACTGCAGACTGTCCGACCTGGGGCTGGCCGTGAAGATCCAGGATGGCAAGCCCATCACCCAGAGGGTGAGTGGTTTTCCACCTGCCCCAAGTAAAGGGCACAGAGACAGAGAGGAGGGGAGAGGGCAGTTCTATTCCCAGGGCAAACAGAGACTTGGACTTAATTGTTTTGATTTCCTTTCTCCTAAAGTCCTTATGTTGTCATCCTGTCTTAAGTGGAATGGTGTAAGAGGATTAGCTGTGTCAGCTGTTTGGAGGCTACTTTTCTCACAGGGGATAGGGGGCACCTTCTTTTTGAGTTAGGGATGATCCATGCCTTCGTGGTGTGATGGTAAGAGCTGAATCTATAGTCAAGATCTAGGAGTGTTCCACCAATAACCACCTCCCTGGTGCCATGCTCTTGAGCCATTAGAGCCTTGGTTTCCTCTTCTGGAAAGTGAGGGGGCTAGATCCAAAAATTCCATGGTCCTAGGAGGAAAACTTTAATAGGATAAGAAAAAGAAGCCCCTAACACCTAGCTCATTAGAAGTAAAATACCTTTTTTCCTGTTGGGTGCAGAATGAGGGAGTGTTTTATTTTGGATGAAGGTAAAATTTTAAATAAAAATATATAGAAGAGAACAAAGGTAACTGATATTTATTTTGATCAATTTGATTCAAAGTGACTTGCCGAGAACTCTTTGGTTAAAAGGGGAATTATAGGGGCCGGCCCGGTGGCGCACTGGATAGTGCGCCGCTTGGGAAGCGCGGTGGCGCTCCCGTCCGAGGGTTCGGATCCCACATACAGACCGGCTCCCGCTCACTGGCTGAGCGAGGCGCGGGAGCAACACCGAGGATTGCGATCCCGTTGCCGGACACGGAAAAAAGACAAAAGACAAAAAAAAAAAAAAAGGGGAATTATAATTAAGCAATTATGGAAAGTAAACAATATGAAATTTCTGGGATTCTAACAAGTCTTTACCACTGAGTTTCTATGCATGAAGGTGGGACATTCCATAGGAAGACAAGGGCCCAAACCAAGTTCTTAAATGTTCACCTAAAATTTACTTTTGAACAGTTTTCAGCTTACAAGGCACAAAGAATAATTAGGCAAGGAAACGAGAAAAATCATGGCAAGTTTGGGAAACTGCAGGTGATTTATGTGGCTGTCATGTGAGGGTTGTTGACATGTGGAGCTCAGCTCTTGCAAAGGCATTGGAAGGTAGATAGGAGGCGGGGAAGCTAGTTAGGAGACTAATGCAGTGGCCCAGGCAAGAGAGGATGAGGGTTTGTATAGGACAGTGGGATTGAAGAAGAGCAAGTTGGGGCTATTGGAAAGAAATCTGATGGGACTTTGGAACCAGCTGGGTATGAAGCTGAGAAGGCGATGGTCTCTAGCTCCAGTGACCAGGAGGAGGAGCAGAATTGTGGGAAAGCTGGCAGTTTATTTGTGATCTTATTGTTTATGAGGCTCCTGTGGAAGAGGCAGCAGAGATGTCCACTGGGCACTTAGACCTATAGGGATGTGGAGAAAGACCTGGGCTAGACATTGGGACTGGAGTCATGATGGCTTGGGAAGCAGCAGGCACCACTGAGTTACTCGAGAAACAATGGGGGAAGAGTTCCAGGGACAGAAGCTAAGGAACAACAACAGGTAGGGAACATGGAAGAAGAGAGGCCCTGAAGACGTTTAAGTAGGGGAGGCAAGAGTGACAGAGTCATGGGAGCCGTGTCAGGTAAGGATGGGTTTCAGCTGCATATCACAGAAACCCAAATAACTATGAATTAATCAAGGCAGGGATTCGTTTTCTCATGTAATAAGTTACAGAGATAGGTAGTTGCTGTCATTAATTTAGCAGCTGTTGCATGACAAGATCTGCATTGCTGTCATTTGGCTTTCTCCACATGTTGTGAGATAGCTGCTCTAGCCCCAGCCATCAGGACCATGTTCCAGGCAGGAGAAAAAAGGAAAGCTCAGGAGTAAATGGGTGTGCATCTGCAGCTGAGTGTGCTGCCCTTTATGGAGGTTTCCTCAGGGGCTCCATCCAACAGCTTCCACTGAGATCTCATTGACTAGGACTGTTATCAGCCACCCCTAACTTCAGGGGAAGCTGATAAATGACATGGTTATTTAGGGGAGTGTGGGGGTGGTTTTACTTAGAAAGAAGAAAGGCTGGATATTGAGCAGGTAACTGGCAGCCTCTGCCACAGGATACAAAAGAGGAGGCTTTCAGGGACAGAACCTAGCCTCTTCTCCCCGCAGGGGGTTGAGTTTATATTTCTTCTTGTGGTGAGTTGTGTTGTTCTGATTGGCCACAGCTTATGTGAATGAGTTAAATGAAATAGCCAATGGAAGTTGTTGAGGCCTTATGTTAATTACGTGATTTTTAGGTTTGCGGTTATTTGTAAATAATCAATTTATGTAAAGTAGGGCTTTAGAGGGGACCAATGGCATGGAGTTCTCTTGCGGTTATGAGTTCCTTTGTCCTTTATTTTACAGGGAAGTCTCATAGGGCAGGAACCTCCATTTTGAGTATCTTTTGGTGGTGTCATCTTCAGTGGTCCTCCCTGAACCTAATAATGTCCCAGTCCCCAGGCCAGCCACTGAAGCCCAGGGGACCATCAGGAAGGGTGGGGGAAAAGAGAGAGTGAGATTGGAAACGATAAAAGACAGAAAGGAAAGCCTCCCTCCTTACTGTTACTCCTCTAGGTAGCTAAGTAAACTCCCACAGTTTCCTATCTATTGCAGCCCCCGCACATATAATTGGGCCCCCAAGTGGATTTTAAGGTCATTATATTTCCATTATTTCACAGAAGAAATGAAAAATGACTTATTTACAGAATTTCTGTTGCCACTAACATTCAGTTGTGATGTCAAGATAAAAGAATTACTGTGAATATTGGGGAGAAGGAAAAATCACCCTGATCCTGCAGGTTGATATTTGCACTGACTCTGTGCAGTTCTTCCAGAAAAGTGAAGGCATTGTGGCTTTGGAAATTGGGCTACTTTCTTCTCATTCAACTACTCACTCAGTCCTGTATAAGTTGGGATTGCTTTCTGCTACATATAGCAGAATACCAGATTCTGGTATGGATTCAGCAGCTCAACAATTTTTGAGGGACAAGATCTCTGTAGAAATTTCTTGGCCTTTTCCTCCTTGTCACAGGGTGGCTGTTGCAACTCCAAACATTAGTCCACATTCCAGGATACAGAAAGGGGGAAAAGGAGCAATGTCCACAGACTTCTGCTTGTTGCTCATTAGCCAGGACCGTGTCACATGTTCACCTCTTGCTGCAAGGGAGGCTGAAAAACAGAGCATTTCATTTTCCAGCCTGTGTTTTAGGCGGTGGTAAGGGAGAAGAGAGTGAGATCACCTGTTGGGTAAGATGACAGCATCTGCCATACCAGCCCCCAGGAAAAAATTATTGACAAGGATTAGGAAATCAGATTCAACTTCTTTACTCACACAGACATTAAAACTAGAAAATAACTGTTACAGGGGTGCGGTAGACAGAGTTCTAAGATGACCCCCACCCCATGACCCTAGCCTGTGTACAGTCTCCTCCTCTCGAGTGTGGGCAAGACCTGTGAATATGATGAAATATCACTTCTGTGACTATGGTACATTGTATAGCACAAGGGGTTGTGAAGATTAATTAAGGTTACTAGTCACTTGACTCTGAATTAATCAAAAGAGGAATTATCCACGTTGGTCTGACCTAATCTCATGAGTCTTTTTAGTATAGGTACAGAGGTCAGAGACAGCAAAAGTCAGAAATTTAAGGCACAGGAGGGCTTCAGTGCACCATTGCTGGCTTTGAAGATGGAGGGGGCCACATGGCCAGGAATGTAGGTGGTCTCTAGGAGCTGAGAGCTGCCTCTGACTGACAGCCAACAAGGAAACAGGGACCTCAGTCCTACAGCAACAGTGCACTGAATTCTGCCATCACCACGTGAGCTTGGAAGACAACGCTGTGCTCCAGATGAAAATACATGCTGGCTAACATCTTGACTTTAGCCTTGTGAGACCCTGACTAAAGAGTCCTGCCATGCTGTGCCCAAACTTCTGACCTATGGAACTGTGAGCTCGTAAATGGGTGTTGTTTTAAGCTACTCATGTTACAAATCAATAGAAAACTGATACAAATAGTTAATAAAGGAAGAAAGACAGGGGGAAGACTTTTTTGTATGATATCATCAAAATTAATGGAGATATAATGGTGCTGGACATGTTAGAGGGATGTTTTCCTTTCCTGCAGGGATCAAAACACCTACCACCTACTATAGTGGAACTGGAGGCCGTAATTGAATTTATAACTGGATATGATTCTTCCCAGTGTGTAACTCTTCCCTAGGTATGAGCTGGGCCTCCCTGGAGGGACACAGGCCCTTTCAAGCTGTTGGTGGACAGTGGGGAAAGTACTTTGGACATTGCTCTATACATAATAGGGAGTCATTAACAAGACTCCCTTTTTTTTGAACAAGAAAGTGGCATGACCAGAGTGATTCTTTAAGAAGATGATTCTAACACAAATGCAAGATGAATTGAAGGAGAAAGAGACTGGGGTTGGGAGGAAGGGGGACCAGCAAGGAACTACTGGTTCCACTCATGATTTTAATAAGGTCCTGGGGCTGGGCCCTGGGCTCAGAACAGTCTTGTGACCGGAGCTCAGCCTTCTGGCATCTCACCTGGGCTCCATCAAGATCCATAGCTTTACTTCTCTTCAAACATGGCTGTCCTCAGTGGGAGATTGGAGGGCACAGAACCACTCCCAGAATATGGTGACTTCAGCTCCATAGTGTCCCCAGACTGCTGGAAGCTGGGCAGTGACTTAGGGAAATACTTCAGGGAAGAAAAGGAGCACAATGTAAAACCAAGGTCAAGGATTTGGATCCCCTCACTGGCCAGCCACCAAAAAAACGAAAAAAGAGGGCCGGCCCAGTGGAGCACTGGAGAGTGCACCGCTTGGG